AATGCATCATCAGCCAACAGAAATATCTGATGATGAATTACGTAAATCAGTTAGATCATTAAATAACATGCAACGCAAAGCATATGACAAGGTGCTTTCATGGAGTAGAAATAAAATGAAGAACCTCAACAGCCTTAAATCAGAAATTGTTGAACCAATTTACCTGTTTATTACTGGAGGTGCTGGTGCAGGAAAGAGCCACTTRATCAACACAATCTATCACACCGTAGTAAAAACCTTCAGATATCCTCCAACAAATCCTGAAAAACCAACAGTCTTACTAGCTGCACCTACTGGAGTTGCAGCAATTAACATTTCTGGTACGACCCTCAACACAGCATTAGCAATACCTAAAAATACTGGTGATGTTCTGCCTGCAATGTCAGACCAGAAAAGGACACAAATGAGAATATCTCTGTCTGAGCTGAAACTAATAATAATAGATGAGATATCAATGGTTGCTAACACTTCTCTGCTCCACATCCATCAACGATTAAAAGAGATATTTGGTACTAATAACTCCCAACTTTTTGCTGGTATTAGTATTATTGCTGTTGGTGATTTATATCAGCTACCACCAATTCGCAGAAAATCAGTTTTTGAAAATTACAAGAATGATGCTTTTAATCTTTGCCACCCATGGCATGTATTTCAAATGATTGAGCTAACTGAAATAATGAGACAAAAGAATRACCAGCCATTTACTGAACTTTTGAATAGATTTAGAACTGCTTCCCAAACTGATGAAGACATCCAGTGTATTCAGTCAAGATCAATTAGTCCATCAGACACAAATTATCCATCTGATGCTCTACACATATGGGCTGAAAACTTCCCAGTAGACCAACACAACAATGCCAAATTAGAGCAGATTCCTAAACCCATGTATACACTAAAAGCCACAGATCAATATCCCAACAATGTCAACAAACAAGATATTGATAGAGTACTGGCAAGAGGAAGATCTGAAACAGGAGGACTTGATTATGAATTTCATTTAAAAGAAACAGCAAGAGTGATGATTACAGCTAATATTGACATCTCAGACAGATTGATCAATGGTCAGATTGGTACTGTAGTCAAGATAGATGTCAATTCAAACACTCAAAGACCATCAATAGTATACATCAAGTTTGATGATGATAAGGCAGGACAAAAAATGATTACTAACAGCAATAACCCATATGCTAAACAACACAAAGCAGTACCTATTGAACCTATCTTGGCAAAGATAAAAATGAGACCCAATAAGCCATCATCACCTGAATTACAAAGAATACAGTTCCCAATCACATTAGCATGGGCCTGCACTGTACATAAAGTACAAGGACTGAMATTAGATAGAATTGTAATTAGCTTTGAACTAAACAAACAAAAAAGCTTTAACTATGGTCAAATATATGTTGCCATAAGTCGTGCTAAAACATTACAAGGTATTTACATACTTGGAAAAATTGAACACAAACATGTTAGAACAAATCTTAAAGTACATGAAGAATATGAGAGATTACAGACTACTTCTGCAGAAATTAGCATCCTAGCTGATCAAACATTAAACCAAGCAAGTACTTCAACGCTATTAACTATGAGCCTCCTTAATGTCAGATCTCTTAATAAACATAGTATTGATATAAAGTTTGATTCTACAATTTGTAAAAGTGATATTTTGGCATTTACAGAGACACAACTTTTTCGTGATACAAACGACATTCAT